TCCCTGTCTTGTTCCAGATTTTAGAGGGAATGCCTTCAATTTTTCTCCATTCAGAATGATGCTAGCCTGAGGCTTAGCATAGATTGCTTTTACAATATTGAGGTATGTTCCTGTTATCCCTAGTTTTTCTAGAGTTGGAACTACAAGATTAACAAAATAGGGCTGGGGCTGGGGCTCAGCGGTATCACACTTGCCTGGTATGTGGGTTCGATTCCCAGCACTACATATAAATAAATAAAATAAAGGTCTATCAACAACAACAAAAAGTCCTATTTAAAAAACAAAAAAAGATTAACAAAATAGCAGGAACAGGACAAAAAGCCATATCCACCACCCTTCCTCTTTCCACTGGTCCAGGCTGCCTCTTGAGCTCAGGAGTCTTGTGTTCTCTCTCCCACTACAGACGAGAACTGCAAGGACAAGTACTACAACTGCAACGTGGTGGTCCAGGCCCGCCTCTGTGTCTACAACTACTACAAGACCGCCTGCTGTGCCTCTTGCACTCGTGTGGCCAGTAGGCATGCGGGGTTCCTGGGGAGTAGATAACACCCCGCATTCCCGTCAGCAGGGCATCATCCCTGCCCTCCCGGGGGCTGTAAGCAATGTGCCTGGCTGGATCCCTGGCCCAGGACACTGCCAGTCAACTTCATCACCACCCTTGCCTTTGGTCAAGTGTACCCAGGAGCTTTGTGCCCCGGATGTTAGAAAGCCACAGTGGGTCCTTTAATCATCATTATGTACTGATGACCCCTCCCTTGAGACCTGGCATCTGCTAACGGTGCTCTCTGAAAACCAAGCCATGGGAAACTCCGTAGCTCTCAGCCCAACTCCTGCCCTGGTGCTTTGCACGTAAGCAGACAGGCCACTAACCAAGCACTGCCTCATCCCTGGTGTGACTGGCCTTCCAAAATTAGCATCCTTGGACAGTCAGAGGCAGCGCTCCGTCCCAAAGACCCGCCAAGCCTTGCTGAGACCTGTGCACCCTCTGTCACCTCAGCCTGGCTATGCCTGTTTTCATTCTCAAGGACATTAGACTGTTTTGCTGCCTTATGACACAGATATCTCACATTAATGTAGTGCTTCATTGTTTAGCAGGTGTATTCACAGATATTAGTTTATTAGTCGTCACAACATCCCAGAATGGGAAGCAGGGGATAAATAATCATCCCACTTTATTGACAAGGAAATATCTGAGGCTCAGCTCAGGTCATTGACCTGCCATTCCGTGGCAGAACTGAGTGCCTGTTCTAATCGCCTGCACATGACCCTTACCCAACCGCACCTCTACCACTATAGAGGTCTCAGGTGTGAAGGATGCAGCTTCATTTCTAACCAAAAGCCTGAAGTTTCCACCAGCAACAAAACCCAGGCCTTTGAATTCTCTCCTCCACCTGGAGGTCGAGTCCTCATCCCCACGATTCAGATTTCTGTTTCCATTTTCCCCACAAAGTCACAGGCCCTAGTGACAGAGCTCTGCAGGTTTGGCTGAACTCCACCCTCAGCAGAACTGTCCCATGAGACAAGAAAGCCAGAGGGAGAACCAGGTGATTGCCTGGAATTCGGGCTCCATTTCAAGTTGACAAGTCCCTCTAGCCATGGGCCTTCCATGTGGCAAAGCAGATTCCCAAGGTCCACAGCCCTGGGCTCTGGGCTCTAGGCTCTGGGCTCCTGCCTTCCTCAGCCATCTCTCCCATGTTCTTCACCACCTAGTAGAAAGTCAAGCCGGTAGGTTCCCCCAAAAAACATCTAAATCACATGACTCCCATGACTCCCAATCCTTACCTCCTCCCAGACTTGACCAGGAAGACCCTTACCTGTGCAGTCAGCCTGGGAAAAGGAGCTGTGAAGCCCCTCCCATGTTTCCTGACTCACTTTATGTAGTTCCAGAGACCTCATGCCTGCAGCAAGGTGTAGCACATATTGAAAGATGAACCAACTGAAAAACCACTTAAGAGCAATATTTTCTTTTCTTTTATCCATTAAGAAAGGTATCAAGCTAAATAACTGTAAACTTATAGAAAATGTCTCTTATTTTTGGCCCTGGGCATGTTACCCCTGTAAAGCAAGTCTGTATTTTTAGCAACTGAGTTTCTCCCATGAGCTCTTTTACCTGGAACTCTGCCAACTTGATGATTGTTTGCAGCTTTGGGAAGTGATATCACCAGCCTGACCCAGCACATGCCACTAGGATTCCCACCAGCCTTGGGCTTTCTGAGGGTCCCTCCCAGCTCCTCTTCCTGGAGAGCACAGGCACCACTTCCCACAGCATCTTCATCTCCCCTGATGCTCATGTGACTCCTGCAGGTCCACAGCCCAGCAGAAGCCCAGCCTGCCCTGCTGACCAAACAAAAAGAGATGTGAGAAGCCACATATATAGACAGTTTCTGTCCAGTGCCTTCTGTTTCCCTCTTGCCACTTGCTTTTGCTTCTTGTCACAGGGAAGTTTTTACTATAATGCAGCTGCTTCCAGATATCACTAAACAAGCTGGTCATTTGAAAGATTGTCTGGAGGAGGTTTTCTTTACATGCTGGAGACAGGACAGAATGGAAGAGAGGAAGGCTGACTTTTAGCTCCAGTGAGGGAAAATGTTCTAGCCATCAAAGCTGCCCAACAGAGGCATGGGCCACCACACCCCTGGGTCTCTCTGTCCCCAAAGGGACTTCTCTGTCAAGTAGAAGGAAGGAGCACATGCTGGTCCTTCCAACTCAGGAATCTCATGACCAGGTGAGGTCAACATGGCTTTGTCTCTTTGACATGAAACAGTGTCCTATGATCCTGAATGTTACCTAACAGTTCCTTCAAAGGACTATGATCCTCCCATGATAATGGCCAGGTAGGAACAAAGGGACACGTCTTCCAGGAAAAAGGGCACGTCAGCAAGAGGTCTTTTTATTCTTACAACAAACAACTGAGATGTTCTTGGAGTTTGCTAGTCTTTGGAAGGTTGTAGATTATAGAACAGAGGGTCTGTTGACATTTTTGTCTTAGAAAGCCAATTCCCTAGTTTTTTATTCGGGTATCCAAATGCCCTTCTCCATCGCACAACCCATGCAGTCAGACCGTCGGGTGTTTCCAGACCACTTTCCTGGGAGGAAGTCTGAGAAAAGCCCGCCTTGGGATGACCCTCTCCCTCCAGGTGGCTCTGTCTCCTTCCTCTGTCCCCATTTTTCCACCCTCTCCTTTTATTATCTGCCATCTCCTTCTCAGGTCTCTCCATTTTTCCTGCCTTGCCATAATGTGGTAGTGAAGTTTTTATCTTATCAGTTTTTTTTTCTGTGCATTGGATTGCCCCATTTCATGATCTGAGTTTTTTAATTAGATAAACTAAAGCTATGATATGTTTTTGTCTCAAAAAAAAAAGCAAAACTTCCAACAAAAGTAGTTTGCTTTGTTTCTTTCACTATCAGAAAAGGAAATGGTGCCTCTTGCTGCCCTAGGTAGAAGCCAACCCGACCTATCCATCCTCCACGTTCTCACCACCACCTGTAGTTCTTGCCACGGAAAAGGGACCTCATAATAACACTAACAAGACACCTTGTCAACCCGGCCACTAGAGGGCATCAGTTCCCTTCATTAAGCCATAGCTGCCAGCTGGTGGGAAACCACAGTGAGGGAGACTCCTTCCCACTCTTGGGAGTCACAAGAGCCACTGTATGGCAGGCATGCTCAGAACTGCCCTATCTGTCCTTTTGTCTCACTTCTCTGGCCCAGAGTTCATTGGATATTGTTTTTTCTTTATGTCCTTGAATATGTATCTCCCACTTATTCTCAAAAGTGTTTAGGTTCAGCACTTTTTGTTTTAGAAAGTGTGGCTTTATAAAGGAGTAAAAGGGACACCAGCCTGGTTTATTTTCATGGAGCTGTAAGGCAGAGAGAGAAATCTAGATATTGCCTTTCCAGGCCACTATTACTGAGCATGGTGGCTCATGCCTATAATCCCGTGACTCGGGAGGCTGAGACAGGAGAATCTGAAACTCAAGCCAGCCTTCCTAAGCAACTGTCTTTTTTTTTTATTATCAATACACCTATTTTAGAGTTGAAATATCAATTTCTAATGTGGGAAGAAAATATAAATGTAAGTCAAGCTGAATGATTGTATCAGCTTGGAAGGCAGAGACCAGCATTTGATCCCTTGCCATACAAGACATTTTTTAATATGACTTAGGAAAATAGRTGCCCTACCAATAGAAATTGTGGATAACATGAAATTGTGGAGCTAATGGCTTGGGTAACAGGTTCTGAATCAAAGAAAATCAGTGAAGCTAGAATAAATCCCAAAGCTTCACAAGTCAGTAGGAAGCAACATAAAGGTTTACATTTGGAATTTTTTTTTTAACTACACAAGTAACAGGTGCAAGAGATGTAAGAGTTTCAGGTAACTCAGTTCAGTGTATTGAGAAAGCAGGAGGAAGCCACCAAAAAAATAAAGCTTAAAATACCTTTAGAGTATGCAAGGAGAAAACATGGACGAGAGTCAAACCCCGTTTTGTCTGTGATCATTGGAGCCATGCTTTAGGAAGACTGTTGATCACGTGTAACATTCAGATGAGAATGTCGAGTCCAAGTGAAGAATGCAGATGATCAGAAACAGCAGAAAGGACCTCCTGAGAACGTGCAGCCTGGAGCAGAGACTCAGGCACCAGGAAAGCCATCCTAGGACCAGGAGGTACAAGTTGCAGGGAGCCAGATTTTAACTCTTGCAGGAAAACCAACTATCCACAAGTTGGATCCTGTTGAAGGCAGGGGGACTCTAGGGCAGGTGGTGACTGACCCATCATGGAGGTGTCAGCAGAGGCCAAATGGCCATGTGTTGGGCTGCAGGAGTGGGATTCAGACATCTGGCTGGGCACCATGATGTTCAAGGTCATTTTCAGGTCTGGGCTTTGGTGATTCTGTAAGAAGCACAGTTTTCTCTAATTCATCTGTTCTGGGATGGCAGTGCACTGCCTACATACTTCCCCTTCCTGACTTTTGCCACCCTGTCAGCCATTTCAAGCTCGCCAGTACACCGCTCCCCTGAGCTGGCTGTGGCCTCGTATCTCAGAGCATCACTAACAACGTGGTCAGAGTTGCCTCATCTGGTCCTGTGCCACAGAGGAGTGTGCAGGCATGCTGTGACCCTGGCTGCCTCTTTGGGATCACACATGTTGATGGAGGCTGAGCCTCCTCCTGGCTGGGCTCCTTTACCTAACAGAACTCTCTTACCTCCTTTGATTTCTTGCACCTTTGCTGGTGCAAAGTAATTCTGTCCACCCTGAACCATCTGTCCCCATTCCTGGGCCTATCCAACTCCCATCATGCCATGGGAAAATGACCACGAGATGGTGGAAACTTCCAGCCAACCTTCTCAGCATCTTCCGGACAATGAGTCCCTCACCTCAGTGAGAGGAAACCCATTCTGTTACACAAACTAACTCCCACATCCCTTGACCCCCAGCTCCCCGCCATCCAGTTTGACAGAAGGATATAATTTGTTATAACTTATTATTTTGTTCTTTGTAAATACAAAATGTTTATAGGAAATATGTATTCTGAACTTTATGTGCAGAATGAGTCACTACACCAAAATAGTTCTATTATTTAGAGTATGTTAATTTTAAAGGGACCTAATAGGTATTTATTTACATATGCCATCCACATTTTGTGTAAGATCATCTGATCATACTAACCCAGTTCCCTGGAATGTTGCACACAATAATGCCTAAGAGATTCTAAGTCCATTTTTTACAATTGTTTAGTATACTGATTAGCCAAACTCCTTGGGGTTTGAGGTCAAGTGTAAACTGCTCCGCTTTTTGACTCGTTCAAGGGACTTTCACCCCTGGTATTGTACCTGAACCGGATTGCCACCTTTCTGTCTTAAATATTATATTTCCTCATATAATCTGCTCTCTCCTCATCCCCCAACATTTGGAGAAGGACATGTGTCTTGTCCTTCTCGTTCTTTCTTTGTTGCCCTCTCTGTTGGGCTCACCAGCATCTGTTGCTCAGGAGGACTGGTCAGAGCTGGGAAGGAGGAGGGCCGCCTGGCAGGATGGGGTAGCCTCCTCATTTCTGA